AGTGTTAAATATACATTCATCTAATGATGTTATCTTATTTGATGTATTTGTTCAAGAAATGTAAACTTATAGTACACACACATGAAAATATGCACATTTAATCTTGTAATTACTGTGGCTTCACTCTCAGTTCAAAAATATCCCATATGCTCCCCAAAATCAGAACTCATGCAGTGCAATACCACTCAACAACATAAAGGGTTGACGTATGGACAGACACCACAACAGAGAAGAATTTCAAGGCTATTCTGCTGAATATCAGAAATTAGGTACTAGGTGGGTTTCATCACAAAATGCTTAGCTGTTGTTTCTTTGATTGATATGCTTTGTCTTTAGAGTTAATTCTAGCAGAATTGAAATTGTCACAAGCTGTTTTGTTGTCCCTCCAGTATCATGCTGACCCTTCTTCAAGGCAAGAACATCTGATTAACCCTGTTACCTTGACGTTGAGTGTGAGTAGACTTACTGAGTGGTTTGTCCCAACTCATAAGCATTATTTATTCATCACAATTGGGTCAGTGATTTATTTGCTGGTGGTCTCCGTGAGATGCATGGAATGGCCTGCTGTGGTGGCTGATTATGTAGCAAGAAATCTGCCCAAACAACAAATTAGCAGTCAGAGGCTCTGCCTGACGCACCATTTAGGGAATTTCTGGTTCTGAGGAACTCTGCTGTCGTTCTATCACAAACAAAACATACACCACAGAGAGGAAGCCAAGGCCACTGGAACCCAGGCCTGGTCCCTCAGGACCCGTCAGAGGAGGCGCCTTCAGGGAGGAGGCCTGTCTTAGCCCCAAAGCTGTTGCTAGATTATCTCATATTCCTGTAACAAATAGTAGATTTGTGAACACATTTTATGGGGTCCTGTGGGCGAACACAGCAGGACCCTAACAGTCACTGTTAGAGCATTTGGCAACGGAAATAAAATTGCAGACATCACATCGAAAACAGACAAACACCTTTAACAAAAACATTTCTAAGAACGTTCTCATGAATTTAAGAGATGTTTTAGGGAAGGCGATAGAAGCAAACTGATAGATCTCGAGTCATAACTGATCGTGTTTCTAAGAGCACGGACTTTGGAATCGCTTCCTGATGATGAATGATCCCAGGATTTAGTAAAATGGGTGAGTAGGGAACTGCACCGCAAGAAATAAAAAGTGGCAGAACAGTTAAAAATTCACACTGCACTTCTGCTGAGCAAAAGAGGAAGTGAACTTTGCC